CCTCTTGGACGTAAGTAACCTAAGTGCAGGAGTTTATGTGCTACAGTGCTCCTGGGAAGAAAACTAACAAGGCAGAATTCTAAAGAGCTACAAGATTTATCACAAATAATGCCCAGGCTGCCCCTGACACAGGATCACACAGGATCCCCTTAAGCAACTGTGAGTTCAAAAGTTAAAAAAGACGAGGGAATAGAATTTCTCCATGGTGTGACAACCTCAGACGGAAGTAAAATTGCTCTGGTGTGATAACACTTTCAAATTTGGCTTTTACCTAGTTCCCCAAAAGTGCTGTTTTCCCTTGCAGCAGGGCCTCCGTCTATGCTGTTGCCGCCATTTGGAACTCTTCTCCCCTCTCTTCAACTACTTAATTCCTCCTCATTTCCAGATCCCAGCCATCCCTTCCTCTGCAAAGTTCCTCTTCCCCCTCATCCATTGACCCAGACTCTGCTTAAGCTTCTACTTTGTACATCATAGTTGTACTACGGCTTCCGTCTGTTTCTTTCTGTACTTGTTACACATTAGCAGGTTCCTTACTCTCTTTTCTCAAAATAAAAACCTCAGTGATGAGTTTTAACAACTTTTTATTTTGAAAAACTTTAGACTTAACAATGATTGGCAACAATGATAAAGTTTCTATGTATTCTTTTTTTTTTTTTCTTGGAGAGGTTTTTGATATAGGGCACCAGAAAGACAGAGACAGAGAGACAGAAAGGGAGAAATCACCCCCAAGTGGGGGGATGGCCACACCGCAATCCCTTCTTCTCCATTCTCCTCTCGGGATCTTGGGCCCGCAGGCACACGCGCCTGGTGTGAGTTTAAGCCACTGGGTCCGGGACTCGAACCGCAGTCGACTACATGGGAGTTCAGCGACATAGCCATTACACTAACTGCTGGTCCCAGTTTCTATGTATTCTTCACCTAGTTTACACCAGTGTTAATGTGTTACGTAACCACAGTCCAATTATCAAAACCAAGTAACTAAGCAGGCCCCCTTGGTCCTAAAGATTAAGGGGAGCTAGATCCCCTGGCCAGCTATGGCTCCAATCCTGGCTCCAGTGAAAAACATGCTGAGCACATGTGCATGCATGATCCAAATCACAACAGGATAGAGAAATGGAGAAGGGATTGGTGACACGACCCTTGAGAGATCACTTTCTCCCTCTCCCACTCTCTGTCTCTCTGTCTCTCGGGAATGCACTCACCCTCTAGCAATAAAAAAAAAAGTAATTAACATTGGAAAAATCCTACCTCTGGTCCTTTCTTTAAACTAGTATACAAATTAGGATTTTACGATTCATGTAGTTGTCATTATGTCTTTCTCTTTCCGTCTGTGGCTGTTCCTCAGTCTCTCCTTATTGTTCATGGCCCTGAGAGTTTCGAAAAAGGACCAGCCAGTTAACTACTTGTAGAATGTTTCTCAGTGTGAGTTTGTCTCCTCTTACAATTAGATTGAGATTACACGTTTTTTACAATACCACAGGAAGAACTTCATACTCTCCCCCAGTGCTTATCAGTCAGTACGTGATGCCAGTAGCTTATTACTGGTGATGGTAACTCAACCACTTAGTTAAGGTGGTGTCGGCCAGGTTACTCCACTATAAATGACTACTTTCCCCTTTGTAATTAGTATCTTGTGAGTTTTATTTAAGACTATTTTTATTTTATTTGTTACTATTATTTTTTTATTTGACCAGAGACAGAAAGGGAAAATGAGAAACCAACCCTTCAGGTCTGGGACTTGAACCAGTCAGACACGTGGGAGTCCAGCACCTTAACCGCTGTGCCACCTGCTGTCCCCAAGTATATTGGGAGACCTTAAGGCCATACAAAGTCCTATTTTTCATCATACTTCTATCCACTAATTCAACCTCCATAGATGTCTCTAATCTACAGTTACACCTATGATATTTGCCTAATTGTGAGTCACCTAATTCCACATTTAATTGGGATTCTATTGTATCTGGGTTTCTATTATGTGTTTTTATTCAACAGATTATAACTCATTACTATCATTATTTATTTTGTTTCTCAAATTGCCCAAGATCTGGCCATTTGAAAGCTCCTTCAGGTTGGTTCCTGTGTTCTTTATTTTTTTAAGAATTATTTCTTTCTTTTAGAGAGATTTTTGCTATAGGGTGTGTGCGCTTGGGAGAGACACAGGAAGAGAGAGAGAGAGAAACAGTGAGAAATCACTCCTCAGGGAGATAGCCATGCTGCAATCCCTTCTCTTCCCTTCTCCTCTTGGGATTTTGGACATGTATACACACGAGGAGGCATGAGTTTCAAGCTACTAGGTCCAGGACTCAAACCACAGTCAACTATATGGGAATCCAGTGCCACAACCACTGCATCACCTGCTGGCCCCAATCATTATTAAATTTTATTTATTATTATTTAATTTGCTATAGGGCAGGTGCCCTCACCAGAGGGAGACACAAAGAGAGGGAGAGAAACAGAAAGCAAGCCACCAGGTTGACCACATGGGAGTCCAACACCTCAACCACCATCCCACCTGCTGGTCCCAACTTTTTTTTCTATAAGGTGCCTGTGCTAGCCAGGGGGTGTGATAGAGGAGTGAGAAATCACTCCATTAGGGCAGATGGCTACACTGCAATCCCTCTTCTATTCTCCTGTCAGGATTTTGGGCACACATGCACACACACCTGGCATGATTTTCAAGCCACTGGTATAGAACTTGAACTGCGCAGTCAGCCATGTGGGATCCAGCCACCTTAATCTCCACGCCAGGCCACCTGATGGTCCCGTGTTCCTTCAATATACTTTCCATGCTCTAGTACCCACAATATTATTTCCTCAGTCCTAATATATGAACATACCTCTCAAGCTTGCTAATCCCTACTCCTGTGAAAAACAAATTGACTAGACTACGATGCTTGTGTAGTTTCTTCCATGTCTAGTTTTACAGTATCCCAACAAAATTCTGTAACCTACGTTAGTTATTTTTCTTCCTTAGCCCTTCAGTTTGGTTATATCAGTTATTTAAAATAGTTCATCTCCTATTGTTTGTGCTCCCTTTTGAAGTCTCCCCATATCCTGGCTTTATTTTGGGGGTATGAGGACTATAACCATGGATCTAAGAGTCAGTTACACAAAATGGTACACATGAAAGTGTCCTACCCCCTTCATCCTTTGCATTATCACTGCCCCTTTCTATCCACTGTTTCCACCTACCTTCCACAGATAGCTAGTCTCAACAGTTTCTGACTAATCTTTCCTTATTTTGCACAGATGAGCAGATACATGCAACTGTAGTGCAAGTGGCATGGTGGTTAAGGTACTAGACTAACACACAGCCAACTGTAGTTCAAGTCCCGGAACTGGTGACTTGCTTTCTCACTCTCTCTCTGTCTTTGTGTCTCTCTCTGGTGAGCATGCTTGCCCTGTAACAATTTTTTTTTAAATAATAATTATGATAAACAAAATTAAGTAATTCTAAGAAAAAAAGTCCACTTGGACCAGCAGGTGGCATGGAGGTAAGGCATTGGCTCTCATATGGTGGACTCCATGGTTCTAGTCCCAGACTCCACAGCTTGAAAATCATTCCAGGTGCATGTGTATGCATGCCCAAAACTCCTGAGAGGAGACTGAAGGAGAAGGGATTGTGAAAATGATCACCCCCCCGCCCCCGCCAGAGGGGTAATTGCTCACTTTCCCTTTCTCTCTGTCTCTCTCTGGCAAGTACATGCACGCTACAACAAAAGCAAAGTCCACCTTACTCCCTGATTTTAGATGCCATTTTAACTTCTTGCCCCGACCCTCAACAGACCTCAAGGAACACTTGACCCCGGACTGAGTTAATGAGGTTCCATTCAAGAATATAAACTAAAAAACTGAGAATATGGCTGAGAATTCCAATGGAGGAAAATAAGGCTGCAGGGATTGGAAAACAAAATGAGGGATCTGGGGACTGGCAGTTGGTGTAAAGGCTATGTCGCTGGACTCCCATGTAGTCGACCACAGTTAGAGTCCTGGACCCAGTGGCTTAAAACCCATGCTGGGCACGTGTGTGCGCATGCCCAAGATCCCAAGAGGAGACTGGAGGAGAAAGGATTGTGGTGTGGTCAGCCCCCCCTGGGGGGGGGGGTGATTTCTCGCTTTCTGTCTCTCTGTCTCTCTCTGTTTTTCTGGCAAGCACACATGCTCTATAGCAAAAACCTCTCGGAAAAAAAAAAAGGGAGGAGGGGGATCTGGATGCTGTCATGCAGAATGAAGGGACAAGATGCAGAAATTAGGCAAAGGAACCATTCTCGGCATGTTAAAAAAGTTTATTGCTATTCTAGGCTTCCAGTGAACCCAGATCTTAGGGCTGGTCCATGGTGGGGTGGTGGACAAATTCAGGCAGCCTGATGGTCAGGTTTACCTGCTCTTTGCTGGACCCGTGCTCCACAAAGCTGCCACTAATGAGGTCAGTTCTTCAACATCTGGCCCATTCTCACGGACCCAGCTCCAAGGCTGGGGCTGACAGACTCATTTCCCTAGCTCACAGCCCTGCGAGGTCATCTCCCCGCAGCTCTGAAAGAGCCTTCTCCTTGGGTCAGGCACCAGGGTTCTGGCCTCTGGAGGGAGAGACCGTACCAGGAGTTGCCTTGAGGCAGAAAGGACAAGGCATGCGCAGTCTTACCCTAGAGGCTGCAGGCTGGTCACACATGAGCCAAATTTCCCCAAGTTCATTTGGCCTCTTCAGCTTGCAGTGTTTAAAAAAAAAAACTGGTGGCCAATATGTAAAAGTTGTAGATTTCATATAAAAATCTGTATTTTTGGCTTCTCTAGGGGAATAAAAGAGAGACTATCTGGCAATACGGAGCCCATATGATTTTTACGTGGCACTT